CATACTACACGGTATCTATGTACTATATGTTACACAAAAGAAACAAACCAAAAACTAAATCCTGAAGTCTAACTAAGCGACCTAAAAATTAAAAAAAACATCAGAAACAGACGATCGCAGGGGAACCAACATCACCACACCATTTTCCTGCAATTTGAGACCACTGGCAAGCAGTGGTTTGCAGGATCATAACTCACAAATGCTCAAGTGATGTTGACGTGTAGACTAGCCTATCCTAAACCCACCCTAAAAAAAAAAAAAAAAAAAAAAAAAAAAACTAAACGATAGAAAGCAAACAAAAAAAAGATAAACAACAAAAATGGAAAATTAAAAAGTTTGATAACGGTAGGTCTTGCGTCTTTCCTTAAAAATGGATACAAAAGAAGACTCCCGGATTTCAATGGGGAGTGCATTCCATAGCTTCGGAGAAGCAGCTTGAAAGGACCTCTCTCCATATTTAGAACGAATTAAAGGAGTAAATAAAGTATATGGACATGTGGTGGGACAAAGACTTCGATAACATGTTGATGACCGGAGATGGATAAGATCAGTCAGGTACGTAGGTGATAAGTTGTGGAGGCATGTAAATGTATGAACAAGGATCTTACATTTTATGCGCTGTCTTACTGTAAGCCAGTGGGATGTTTTCAGTGTAGGGGTGATGTGTTGAGTTTTCGGTATGATCACCGCCAAATCATTACCCAACAGCATACCTGTAAGTTAATGACCAGCCTGAGGCACTTCGTAGATTACTAGGATTGTTTATTGAGGTACTGACCGACATACATGTATGAGATGGGTAACGCACCGAGAGGGCGTGCTTCAAATTAATACAACGTTCTACATCTTCCTTCTTTTATTTTGTATAAAAGAGTTTTTAAACATGATCAATTTATAGTAAATTTAAAATCTTTTCATCCTTTTTGTTTCTTTTTTTTTAACATGAGAACAATAAAACGTTTTAAGTCAAAAGTGTGATTGTGTTATTCATTCAATTGTGATCTTTTCTAACATATTAATTAGCATCTTAAATTCCTGTTCAATTTTTGATTTCCATTTTACTTATAAATTCCAATCCAATAACAATGGTCTATAATTAATGTTCGTTCAAGGTTCAGCAGTCCAATCAGTGTTCAATCAATGTTCAATAATCATGTATAATCAATGTTCATTCAATGTTCAATAATCGACTGTCAGCAGTCAAATCAATGTTCAATAATCAACGTTCAGTAATCCAATCAATTTTCAATCAACGCTTGCATTTTTTTTTTTTTTTTTTTTTTTTTTTTAGATACTGTGCAAACATAGAGCTATTGTATTTGGGATTTGGTTTGACAGTTCGTCCACTTCGGGTTCCTGTTGGCTGAATCTGTGTTGGATTTTGCGGTAGTTCTTCACGAGGCTGAGTTTGCATTTGTGGTTTCGGGTTGTGTATCGGTTGTGTGTCCTGGTAATGGTATATCAGCTTTCTGTAACGGCTTGTTTTCTGTTACAGGAAGCAGATATTTTCTGTTTCTTCTTATTTGCGTTTCACCGGTATCGACCATAATGATCTTGGCTATTCCAGAATCTTGCTGATCGTTCCCAGACGATCATGTCCTTTCTGTGTTCTTATTCGAACTGTCTGGTTTTGTTGTAGCGGTGGGAGCGCGCTTGCCTGTGCTTTTTTGTCATAGTAGCGTTTTGTTGGTTTCTCTTCATTTCTAATTGATTTCTTACAACTTTTGTATTGATTGGTTTTGGTGTCAGTAAGAATTTGTTTGTGTAGAGAGGATTTCTAGTTGTTTGTGATAGTAGTCTTTGTGCCGGTGATTTGCGAACATTATCTCTTGGCACATTGCGTAAGTTCAGAAGATTTTGATAGATACCTGATCCATCTCTTCGTGTCTTTTCTAACAAATCTTTGCCTGCTTTACCGCATTCTCTGCAAGGCCATTTGATTAGGCATGTTCAGGACTACTCGTGATGTGCACACAGTTCCATTCTCATGCGAACTGTTATAATTGTTGACCTGAATACTGACCTCCATTGTCACTTATGAGAATCTGCGGTGTACCATGGGTAGCGAAGTGACGCTTCAGTTTCACTATTACTGTGGCTGATGTTAAGTCAGTTTCATTTCAAACCATCTGGAATAGGAATCTACGAGTACCAGGTAATGCTTATTGTTCCACTCAAATATATCTGTGGCAACAATCGTCCATGGTAGATCTGGAATGTTATGTAAAAGTAAGGGCTCCTTGGCTTGATGTGCCTTTAGGGCATTACATACCTGGCAGGATGACACAAACTTGGTTATGTCATCGCACATTGATCTCCAATAGACAATTTCCCGTGCTCTGCGTTTTGTAGCTTCTATTCCAGGATGTCCTTTGTGTAGTATTCGTGTATACGAGGACTGGAAAGAGCTAGGAATTATGCTTTTATGTCCTTTCATAACTATTCCATTGTCTACTGAGAGTTCATCTCTGAAAGTAAAATAACTTCGTATTTCTGGAGGGCACGACTTTGGAGTTTTTGGCCATCCCTTAAGTATTGTGTTAATTAACATATGAAGAGTGCGATCCTCTTTCGTTGCACTTCGCAGCTCTTCCTGTTTAGCGTCAGAGATGTGCAATACTTCAATGACTTCATACAGATAATCATCATCACCCGTATCTGTAGTAGGTGCTCGTGATAAGGTGTCTGCCAAATATAGCTCAGCACCTTTCTTGTATACCAACTCAAAGTGGTATCTTTGTAACTGCATTAGTAATTTCTGCAGACGAGCTGGTGCTTTGTGAAGTGGCTTCTTCACAATGGTTATAAGTGGTTGATGGTCTGTTTGTATGGTTATTTGTTTCCCATATATGAACTGATGGAATTTCTTTGTTGCAAACACTATGCTTAACAGCTCTTTTTCTATTTGTGCATAGCGCTGTTCAGTTTCTGTCATTGTTCGTGAGGCAAATGCTATTGGTTTACCATTTTGGAGGCATGCATAGCCTAAACCATACTGGGATGCATCGCATGTAAGGGTTAAGTGTTTGGTCACATCGTAATATGCAAAGACTGGTGGGCTTGTTATCATACTGATATGGTTGCCAACACCATTGCGTGTCTTTGTGTAACAACTGCCTTAAGGGTGCTGTTACTTCACTAAAGTTCTCTGTGAATTTCGAAAGATAGTTTGCCATACCAAGAAAACGGCTTAAAGCTGGTGTATCCTTTGGAGCTGGCATCTCGCATATAGCCTTTATCTTCTCAGGATCAGGTTTTATACCATTGTCGGTTAGAAGGTGTCCAACATAGGAAACCTGACTCTGTCGAAAATTGCATTTGTTCTTATTCAAGCGCAGTCCAACCTTCTGAATTATCTGTAGCACCTCCTTTAAATTCTTGTCATGCTCGTCTAGATCTTTACCAGTGACTAGCAGGTCATCCACAATTATCTCACAAGGATATCCTTCAAAGAGTATTTCCATTGTGCGTTGAAATACTTCTGATCCACTATTGATACCATATGGCATTCTAAGATACCTGTATCTGCCAAGGGGAGTGTTGAACGTAGTCAACTTTGAAAATTCTGCATCTAATGGTACCTGCCAAAAATAATTTTTAGCATCTAAGACAAATTACTGTGGCATTGGCTAAAATTTCTAGTTATTTCCTCAACAGTTTTCATTGGGTGATGGGGTCTCTTCAGAGCACCATTTAAATCTCTTGGATCTATGCACAATCTAATTTCTTCAGTGTACTTTTTTCTTGTTGCAACCATTGATGGCACCCATGTTGTTGCCTCTTCTACAGGAGTGATTACGCCAATTTTTGTCATTCGTTTAAGTTCTTTATTACTTTGTTCTCCATGGGCTTTGGAACTTTTCTTGGTGGTCTTACCACTGGCGGTACTGAAGGGTCTACAGACATCTTATATTTCATCGGTAACTTGCCCAAATCGTCACCAAAAACATCCGAAAACTCTGTTAGTTCTGAAAAATCTTGTGTTACGACATGCACCATGTTATCATTAACGTTTAGCAACTCAAGTTTTAGAGAATCTGCTAATCCAATTATGGGAGTGTAATCACCATCAACAACATAAAATTTCAGTTGGTGTTGTTTTCCGGCTGAATCTATCATTAATCTTGCCATTCCCAAAGTAGTTATGGCATTACAACTATATGCTACCAGATTTGGCTTTTCTGATTGGTCTATGTCATCAGCAGCTTTAATATTTTGCAGAGTATTTAGTGGTATTACATTACACTTGGCTCCAGTGTCTATCTTTAATGTGAGAGGATGATTGTTGACCATTACAGTTGTTTTTATTTCATTTTTACTGTCAACTGTATCAATGTTTATGCCTTCTACAACAAATAATTCTTCATTTTGTGCTTCTTCTTCTGTTGCGATATCATGCAATGCCTGCTTATTAGGCTTTTTTTTGTATCTTTGTTTACCTTGGGTTTTCTTGTAAGTATGCTTGTGTTGTGCACTAGTACCCATAGGTTTCCTACACTGTGTTCCAAAATGTCCTAAAATTCCACATCTGCTGCACTCTTTGTTATATGCAGGACAAAAATGAGATGTCCTACTCCTTCCACAAACTTTACTGTGCTGCGATTTGGTTTTTTTCAAACTTTAGTACGTCGATTGTCTGTGACAATTGTTTGTTTGCATTTTCTGTAGTTTCATGAACCAGGCATATCTGAATGGCTTTATCCAAAATTAATTCACTCTGAGATAATAACGCTTTTCTCACTACTTCTTTATCAACACCACATACGATCCTATCTCTTATTAGCTCGTCAGTTATCAGACCAAATTCACAACTTTTAGCTAGGGTTTGCAACTTAGCTAAATATGTTTGGACAGGTTCATCTGGTAATTTAGAAAGAGTGTTGAAGTTATGTCTTTCTAGTATAATATTCTTTCGTGGTAAGCATAAGTCACAAATTTTTTTCTTTAGGTCTGCCAGTTTTTCAGGGGACTCAGCTGGAGTAACGTTGCCGTCAGCATCGGTAATTGCATCTTACTGTTAATTATGGTCATAGTTTTAATTGTGGTATTTCTATGCCGGAATAAAAGATATGGGTGAGTGTATTTTTATTAGTTAATTCCTTTTATTTCTTCTAAATTGTAAAAAGAGCTACAAAAATAGCGTTTTACAGGTACTGCATGGTTTGACAATGCTAGAACTAGGTTAATTCAAAAGGGTCAAAATTACTTTATAAGTTAACAGATGGCGCCTCATAGCTATCAGCCATTGGCCACCTGTCAAAGGTAGGTTCAATTACCAACTCCATGATAAAACTTGTACTTGGCCCAGTAATAACGCCGGGATCGGCCCGGCGACAGAGGGGGCTAAACTTACTTTACAAATCCGTTTTTTATTTTGTATGATTAAAAAAATACCACAGTATTTACATTAATTACAATACTTATTCTCCCATCATTGCGAAATCCAGGTTCTTCATAATCCATGTGATTGTGAATTACAACCAAATTACGAATAAGAATAATGTCTTACCGTAATTTGTAAGGCCACTAATTTCTTACATTATACTACGATAAATTAAGAAAATATAATGTCACCGGGAACGCCACAGTACAAAGTAAAGTTCTAATTTGAAATGTTTCCTGAAATCTAAACCACAAGGTTGCTTCCCCCATCAAGATGTATTCCAAGCGTCATGAGGATATCCAAACGAGCATTTGTCACAATAGAACGTAAACCATTTTTAATTAGTCTCATTGAACAGAGGCGGATCAAGAATTTTTCGAACGGGGGAAGGGGAATTTGTATTCTTTTTTTCTTATTTCAATACGTAACATTAATATGCATATGCACTAGCATTTATTAAAATAGTGTCAAAACGCTGTTTTGATACTTGACACTATTATTAATATTATTATTGCTGTTATTATAATTTTTATTTTTATTTTATTTTATTTCAATTAAATCCAAGAGCGGAATCGCCCATTACAGGATGTCTTAAACATACAATATATAAAATATAGTAAAATACAAACAATAACATACAAAGGAAGCAAATCGACAATAAAGAGAGTCCCTAGCTTAACTAAAGAAAGCCTATACTAAATTAGCAACTTTGGATTTAAACGTGGAAATACTGTTAAAAATATGTCAATAGTGGTATCGTTACGTGTACTGGTATTATAGTTATGTGAATAAAACCGTTTTTAGTAGCATTGACCCGGCTAAGAGGCACAGAGAATAAGTCAGTGTTACGTGAATTGGGTCTATGTATTTTTTACATAAATAAAGATAAAAGAGGGCAAGTAAAACGCGAGTTAAAACATTTATGAAGGAAGACCATATCAAACGTGCCCCTTCTAGTGTGAAGTTGTAAGAGATGAATAGTGGCATTAACGTTGTTATAATTAATAAAATACATTAAATTTTATTAATTATAACAACGTTATAATTAATAAAATTTATAATTTATAAAATACATAAATTTGAACTCGTTCTATGCGATTTGATTGAGAAATACAAATAGAATTATAAATCCTAGATGAAAAATCAAAAATTGGTTTAACAAGAGAAATATAAAGATGAAGTTTGGTGCTACTATTGAGCTCTTTACAGAGCGCCAAAACATGCTCAATATCCTATTACCCTTGGATACAATATAGTCAACATCTTTGTTAAAATTAAGCTTAGAATCAATGTAAATTCCAAGATTTTTTTGAACATTAACCTTCTCAATTAACGAACCATTAATGTTGTAGTCATAATTAACTAAAAGTTTCTTAAGAGATAATGTAAGAACCTGACACTTATGTGGATTGAGAGAAGTAGTAGGGTAGGGGGGTTCTGGGCCACATCATCCCAAACGCCTTCTGATTGGTCAATTAAAACACCTAATTTGCATATTGATGGTAGACTGGTAACACCGTTGACCAACGAAAGTTGATGCTTCCGCCTTCATCTTACTTTCACTGGCATTTTCAGGCGCTTATCCACACTATGCCGTTGGTTTTCCTAGGCTAATATACGCCCATATAGCACAGTGGTTGTTATTTGACCCATAAGATGGTGTAGAGATTGAATAGAAGATCTGGGCATGTGGGCCATGAGTCTAACACATTTAGGGGTCTCTACTCCTCCAAACCAGAGCCCACATTTGTCCTTAAGCATTATGGCTTAGGTGAAGAGGGCTCACTCAATGTACAAAGTACAGCCATGTAAATGCAGGTAAAAAATACACTGATTACCACATTCAACATGAGCGCCAAAAGACTTATGTCTAACATACGTGGCCTCCGTAATTAAATAAAAATCTCTTCTTCATTTTATAAAATAAAAAATGCATATACTAATTTTACTTCAATAAGTTTATTGTACAACAGAAGACTAGATAGAAAAGGGAAAATACGACTCACAGTCGAGGTGTCTTAGCACCAACATGTCAAGAGTTTTACCTGGAAACAACCATACCCACTGGTTGAGTGTAGGATTACTGGTTTATAAGCAATGAATATTAAAAAGCATTATAAAATGTAACACCCAACACCTGAAGCAGTGGCGGATCTAGGGGAGGGGGTAGGGGGTTGAATAGAGTGGCTAGCCATCCCCCTCGAAAAAAAGTCACTCGTCTTGTGTGTGTGTGTGTGTGTGTGTGTGTGTGCTTCTCATGTATACAAGTTACATGTAGTAGGCTACTCTCGTAAAACATACACTTTCTATTTTAAGCTTAACTTCTTTTCAGATGTCATCCGGGAACGTCTAGCCGTCAACTAATTCCAAAAAATGTCAAATGGAAGGGGATGCCTCTCCCTAAACCCATGATCAAGGAGGGACAGGGGGACACGTCCCAAAATATGGTAAAGTGGGTGGGGGTTGGTCCGCAATTTAATAATATCATATGTCAAGAAGATGCCTGAACATTTTTGAAATGATTTGCATAAATGACCCAGGTTTTAAAGAAAGTGTGCTGTACAACCGGTACTCTATCTCTGCCCACAAACATCTGAATTACTTATAATACACGACTCGTGTGCGCGTGCCTTTATTATACTTTGAGAAGTATGAGAAAAAGCATGTAATAATAATAATAAGATTGGTTTTCGGCACATGGTAAAGTAAATTAAAAATACCGTACATCAATGACAATTGAGTTTTATTTTCAATGGAACATCACAGCGATTAATTTGATCGATGATGATGAATTTTATTATAACAAAGTGTCATTTGCGGTAATCTAGAGGTACGATTTCCCCTAAATGTTCCCACCTCAGCCCTTGTGTGGACTAATGGCTTCGAAGTAGGTAGGCCTAAATTAAGTACATCAAAGGCAATGTTTTTAATATTTATTCGCTACAGTACATCACACATATTAATTAGATATCTATGGTTGGTTTGAGGACAAAATGTCCTTCGGTGATGTTTTTATCTGAGCTAAACAGACTAATTACATATGAATTTTTAATTAGTAGGGAGAAAGCAAAAAATAAATGGTCCATGGTCGATCTTGATAAGTATAATCAACATATGTAATAGATAAATAAATGGGTGATGGGTGACTTCTACGGAAGACAAAAAATAGAAGGAAATAATAATAATAAAAAAATGATAATAATAATTTTAAAAAAAACCATACAATTAATATCGGCAGTATATGATGATCATTAAGAATAGTAATACAATTAATTAATATTTGCATAACTAAGCTTCAGTATTAAACACTATTACAAAATTAATTGCATGTAGGCCTAGTGCCTATACGAAAGGCCAACTAGCAACTTTCAGTGATTGTCAAGTTGGTATAATTTTTAAGAAAGGTTATCGAATATAATGATAGGCCTACAATATACAATGATTGATCTATGTTAAATTATGTTTTTATACTTATGTATTTGAACTGTTGATGACATATTAATGAATAAATGTGGTGGTTCGCCACAATAGAGAGAAAGAGAATATATCTATGGTTGCCGAAAATCATGAGAATTTTATTGCCGCTTCATTTTTACTATATAATGGTGATGTAATGACGATGAATTTTACTATATAAAAGTGTCATTTCCAGTCATCTAGAGCTACTATTTCCTAAAATGTTCGCACCTCAGGCCCAACCATGGTGGGCCTGAGGTGGGTGTGGGCTCACAAAATGTTCCCCGCTCACCTTTCGAAACAGATCTGCGCCCTTGTCAAAACCACGACCCCCCCCCCCCCCCCCCCCCCCCCCCCCTCGTGCTTCACAAATCGCATTATCCACCCACAATTGCTAAATCCTAGATCCGCCACTGCTGAAGCTCTGATTGACATAAGGAAGATAAATAGACAACAAATTACTTTAAATTGCGCTTGCATGCATTCTAAAAGGAATTGCCTTAGAAAAGGGGTTTTAAATATTGTGAATGTAAAAACATAAAAAGCACGAAACCAATTAGAAACTTTTCAAAACATCAGTCAAAACGTATAACAAACAAAAAGTAAAATCACCTTGAAATAATTAAAGGAAAAATTTAACATTTCAATTAAATACTTTAAAAAAACACTGTTTTAAAAATTACAAAATTAGATTGGTAAAATGTTTTTGAGCAATAAGAAGTAGGTTTAGTTTCAAAGTGGTATGAAGAAAGAAAGAAGGTTACCAAATGCTTTCTCAATCTAAAGAAAGTAAATGGTGAACGAAAACGTATTCATAGCCTAAATAGCCTAATAAGTAAGCACATTAAAGATATTAGAACAGCTTTAAAAGTGTTAAGAAGAATGGTAATGCAATAATTGAGGTATCTCATTTTAATGAGTATTTTAAATCTGATCGAATGATAAACATGAATGTGTAGGTTCTTTTATTTAAAATAAAGGTAAAAGGGAGTTTGATCTGACGGTAGATAGTAAACGTTTCTTGTTAGATTAACAACTAATTTCTATAATTGTATAGACATTTAAAGGTAAGTTTAATGCAATAAATATATTCGAAATTTTTAACCTTCCACACAATTTGCGAGTGGTGACAGTTTTGGCTTTTCTTCTGTTAAGCCAATCTGAATTTACTTCTGTAGTATCAAGTTGTATAAATTTATGTTTGCTTTATATATACTGTGTTTTAATGTTAATACATTATTTTCTTGTATTAAAAATATTTTGGAGATTGATTGTTTCAGTAATTTGCATGTTATAATAAAATTGTTCGTGATTTTCACACTTTTTTATTTTATATTTTCACAGTGCAGCTGACAAACCACCGCTTTGTCAATTATCAAATCATTGGTCATGCAAGGGTATTCAACATAACCCATCCACAAGTCTAGTTAGATGTTCGAACTCAAAGAAGTACAGTCGGTATAAATTTACAATTTTTTTCCTAAGATGATATTGGCTCTGTTACAATTTTATATCTTAATTTCATCCTTCTGGATTCAGGAGGATCCCAAAACCTCACACCCCTCCAAAAAAAGGAGAAAAATTGGAAAGGAGGTAGAGAGAAGCACGATACTCAAAAACAAGCTAAAATACACCACTAGGGAATAACGATGTCACCCACATCACTTAATTCTCGTTTTGTTTTGTAGTGCAACAAGTAATAACAATTGACAATTTATCTATAAACAAAACAGATTGTACCACATTCCTTTACATTCTTAAGAGGCCGAGGTCCCTGACAGAGAGGCCGATATCCCCGACGAGAGCAAAGTGGGCGTGGTCGGGCGTAGCTCAAGATTTTTTTAAAGTAGTCCAGGTGGTCGAAAAAATATGACAATTTAGAGGTTTCCAAGACTTTTTTAATAGATTTTAGAGTCTACTAATATGTAAAAAAAAAAAACATATAATTTTTTCTCCCCGACGGGGGCAAAGTTTCCCGCGATGAAGGATCTTGACCCCATGCCCCACTGGCAATACCCCTGTTTTCCATCATAAATTGCGAGACATCTTCTCGCTGTTGTTCACCAGCATTTCAGGAAGTAACTTGGTTCATTTGATTCAGTCACATCACCGACAGAATTTCACGTACATTTGTGTATTGCTATTACAAGATGTCAAAATGTCCTACTGATTTTGTCAAAACAGCTGCATTTGTCAATCACTGCTGCCAAATTCGTCAATATCTGATGTTGCTGAGCCCCGAACTGATAATATCGCGTCGCATGACATTAGTAACCGAGCGCTCGACGTGCATCCACTCAACATCGCATCTCCACCTCCCACTGTCTATCCATGACCCCAACCGGTCCTAAACCAGTCTACTCTACCAGTTAAGCCATTCTGTAATAGTACTATTAGCCTGGGTGCAGTAGGAAATTAGCAAGAAAAAAGAAAAGGAAAATTTATTTTTGGTTTTTCTGGATCAGTATAGCATATAGTGTCTCAGAAAAAAATTCCCATTCTTAGAGCTTGAGCAATTTTTTTTTTTATAGCACTAAAATTTTGACATAAAATATCCTATTTTGAGCTAATTAAGATGGGGGTAGGGGAAATAAATGTATGTTTTAGTCGCTTTTACATATGATATGTATATCAAATGTAACAAGAAATTGGCTAAATAGTTACTCCTCATTCTCGTTAAAAAAATTAATCGGAATAATGACGTCATCACAAAGAATTCCAAGATGGCTGCCATTGTGGTTGTAAAACTCTTTTAAAATGTAAATTTAACTTTATTGTTATCAGAGCAATTTCAAAACAATATATATCCATACAAACACACACACACATATGGCATTATATTATTCACCTCTAGTTTTGCTATAATTGTGAAAGTTGACAATAAACTTAGTTAACTAGTTACTCTTTACTGTCTCTATCAATTTTAATTGAAATAATCATAATGCCAATTTCCAAGATGGCGTTCATCTGGGCGGAGAAAATGGTTACTTTTGTAAAGTTATTATATTATTATTATTATTATTATTATTATTATTATTATTATTATTATTATTATTACTATTGTACAAAATACAATCTCATCAAAGCAATCACATATAGAATATATATAAATATTATCATTTTAATAGTAGTATTATGCTTATTCATTATTGTTAAAATCATTAATAATATTATGTATATATTACTGTATTGTATATCTGTTATTTCAAAATTATATTTTAATATTAGAATGAATTACATTGTTAGTACTGTTATATAATAATATTATTTATAATATTTTTTTCACCACTAATTCTGCCCTCCCATGGCAAAGGGAAGTATGGGACAACAGGATAGTTTTGAGAAATCAAGCAAAACGTGTTTTTGCATCAGCCGTTCTAAATGATGAAGTGTGTTTAAAAGCTTTCATGCGATTTTGATATATAATTAGAAGTCCATTCTAGGTATAATAATAAAAAAAATTCTAAAAAGCAGTATTTTAGCTTAAAATGTCCCATACTTCCCTCTGCCGTGGTATTGCACAACTAACATGTTGGAAATACGCCATATCAAAAGGAAGCAAATACACATTTATACTAAATAAAATGCTCACATATGGATATATAAATTGTAAATTATTGATAACAGCATTCTCTACATAAAATATTACTCAACTAAACTATATATTTTTTAAATCAAGAAATATAAATAAATATAGATAAAAATAGGCTACCTTATATACAGATAGCCTAAAAGAATAAAATTTACAAATTTCAAAATGCATAAATGATGTTACATCCCTGATGAAATTAATATCTAAATATTAAATAATATTTTGAGAATTGGAACTAAAAATGATTACCTATTAGATTGGAAGCTACCAGTAAGTGTTTGTAGGGCTTGTTCTCGTTCCCTGTTATTTTCCAATGTATAAATTAATGCAAGTTTATATACACCCTAGTGTTGATTTATTCAAGATTTATTCAAAATTAGATTTCAGAGACACTAAATATTCATCATAGGTTTTTCAAACAATATATTTACATTGGAATAAATAATTTTGTTATTTTCTTTCTTTTGATATACATCTTGCTGGGACATTATATGCGAAGGCGATTTAGAATTAGGTTAAGTAAGCATTTTCAGGAAATTAAAAAAAAATATATATGTTTCTAACCAAGTGGTATTTTAGTTGAAGCGAGTAACACCTGGTAACAAATTAAGATACCTTTGATGGCATAAATTAATGGTAAAATATGAAGCAGTGTATTTCCATTCCTGTTTCAATTGACAAAATGAATTGAATCGCTGATTCTCAAAAAAAAATTATAGGAATATTTCGAACGCGTCTGCGTTCTTCATCAACTTTCGAAAAAGAATGTATTAGCGCACAAAATATTTGTGATTTTTATTTTTATATTCTTGAAAAGTCAATGAATGACTAATCCTTAGAATGTGTTAATCAATACGCCTATATATCGCATAATACAATAAAATTGCCTTTGTGTACTTTATAATTATGAACAAAAAGAAAAATAACCATGAAATATCCTAAAGTTACAAGGAAAAAATTAACAAAGAAACTGGCAAATATTACGTTAACTTTATAAATTAAAAAGGCGGGAGAATTTGGAATGATGAATCTAAAAACTGTATGATACTTTACTGATTCATTTAAGCTTTGGTTAAATCAATGGCTTACAAAAGATCTTCCCTTCACACAGTCAGAATACTGCATTCTGATTGGCTAGTGATACACACAATGCCACAGCTTGTCCCATACTTCCTTTTGCTGTGGCTTTATCATCAAAAAGTGGACATACTTCCTAATTATGATATTAATATCTCAATAAATATAAGGTTTTTGAAATATATTTTTAGTTTGAAATGTGCAGAATGGTACCTGGAATCATGTACAACCAATAACCCATTTTTGAAAAATTTGTCCCATACTTCCCTTTGCCTTGGGAGGGCAATAATTGATATCATTACAGTATTATACTCATCTTATTCGTCATCGTCATGATCATTCTCATTGTTGTCTAATCATTATAATCATCCTTACTATCATCGATCGTTGTAATCATCACTATCATCATCATCACCATCATCATCATCACATCATACTCATCCATCGTCATCGTCCTCATCTTCATCACGTCCTTATCAATCGTCTATCGTCGTTATCATCATCCTCATAATCTTCATCCTCCTCATTCTTCATCATTTTCTTCATCATCATCCTCATCGTCATATTCATCCTCATCCATCATCCTCATCATCATCAATGGCATAACCAGCTATTGGCACAGTCCCACACCATTTTTCCAATGGGTCCACAATAAATGGTCCCCATTTTAAAAAAGGGTCCAAATTATGTAATTTTATGCATAAAATGGATCCAGATACCTTATATTTAGTTAAATATGGGTAAAATTTAAGAAAATGGGTCCAGATAGTTCGTATTTTTGCGTAAAATGGGTCCACATTGTTTGAATTTACACGTAAAGTGGGTCCGCTCTGATATTGTCCCACACCCTTTGAAAATCCTGGCCATGGCATTGATCCTCATCCATCATCGTCACCCTCACCAGTCATTGTTAACATCATCACCATCACCTTCATGATAATGAAGAGGATGAGGACGACAAGAATGAAGATGAGGATGAGGGGCAAACGGGATGTTTCTCATCATTCGTCATCATTAACCTCATCCACGACCATTATCATCAATCATAATCATCATCATCCTTATTTTCATCATCATCAAACTCATCATCCTAATCCTTCTTATTATCATCATTATCCTCACCATCCTTATCAGCATCATTTTATTCCTCATAATCATCCATCATCAATCATCATCTACCTCATCATCTTCCTTCTCCTCATCAGCCGCATCATTCTCATCCTCCTCATCATCATTTTTATCTTAATCACCATAATCATAATCATCATTACCATCATCCTCATTATCATCATCATCATGAGGATGATGAAGATGAGGACGACGAGAATGAAAATATGGACAAGGGTGAGGATGAGAGGGATGATTCTCATCATTCATCGTCATCATCATTCTCATCAATCATTTTCTATCATTCTCATCACCATCATGACAATCATTATCATCAACAACCCTTATTATCAATTGTAATCACCATCATCTTCTTCCTCACCATCATCCCCATCATCTTTCTTCTCCTCATCATCATCAACATCCTCCATATATTGGGGAATATAATGAGGATGGGGATGACAATAAGGAAAATGATGATGCTATTAATAATAATGACATCAGTATATTAGGAATAACAGTACTAACGCTAACATTAATGTGAATTATAAACTATACATTTTTTAAAACGCATAAGAATAATGACATACGGTACTATATTAATAATATTATAGAGTAACAACATAATAGTATACTAATGATGATGAAGAAAAATGTATTTAAATAGGTAAACATTTCCTTT